TTTTAAGCTTTTACGACCACGGGACAAACGTTTCTTTCAAAAGGAAATTTTACGGGACGAATATTTATTAGGACTCTCTCTCATTCAAGATCATGCAGTGTATGTATGACATCAGTCTAGCAAAGCAACACCTGTACAAGATTGTGTTAGATGTGGAATGTGTAATATATGCATCATATGTTTCAATCATTTACAAGGAGATGAAAGCAAACTTGTAATTTAGCCTGTATTTATGATGAGATAACATCTTGATTGCAATCGTTAATGCTCCTGTAATGGGACATAAACTTATATTTATTTGTATTACAGCATATATAAAAACAGTAGGACATGCGATTTTGTTTTGTTTTAGTAAATCCCAGTTATAATGTCGGCTCGTTCTAAATCTCGGTAATCTGCACGAATGAAAGAAGTGCCATGGTTTGAATTTACTCCTGTAGTCCAAGCAGAAGGCAGTCCTCGACCGCACGCGACATTTTTACAACGAAACAAATGACTTTTTTCAGTTTTCAATACGTCTTCTGGTACTTTTGAAGTCGTAAATTACTCATTTGTAGACACAAACTGTTGCATGGCTATGTTTTCTAAATCTAAATCATGTTAAAACATGTTAAAACACAGTAAAGATTTAAAATATTTTTGTTATGTGATCCGTTTTGGGTCCTCCCTCCTCAGTTGTTATCAACCCGGACTGTTACTATGGATACATTTTCATAACCTGGATGTGAATAAAAGTACTTTCATTTTAAGAATAAAATGAAATCATACCTGTTATTTCACCCAGAAATCATATAACGCATGATGTTTGTTATGTACCGTGGCCGTACTGTGTAACAGTCCTTGAATGGCACCATCGAAAAATCAAACAAACAAGTAACTTAATCTCTTGGCATCAACAATATGGATAGGAATAGTCAATGGTATCCGATACATGCCTATTAACATAACAAAATAAGTTCATCCGTGTTCTAACTTAGAGAATCATACTAATGATTTTTTTTACACTTATTAGTACTCCCACCTGCAGTGGTATATTTTGACCTTTTTACAATTCTTCGCTTCGTAGCAGTTTTCACTCGTTGATACTTCCACAGCATTTTTGTTTGCAATGAAATTTTGTGGTATACGCATGCGATTATCAAAAAGGGCTTAACTGTATGATATATATGTATACGACATCATGATTTGTATTTTTTAATTACATATTTTTATGAACATATTTCAGCAAAGTCCGACCGTCATTCTCGACGAGACACTCGTTAT